GCATGTAGCACGAATGGGCGAGAAGAGGAATGTTTGTAGGATATTGGTGGGAAAGTTAGAAGGAAGCAGACCACTAGGAAGACGAAGTTGTAGGTGGGTGGATAGTATTAAAATGGATCTTAGAGATATACGGTGAGGTGGTATGGGACTGGAGAGATCTGGCTCAGGATAGAGACCAGCGGAGGGCTTCTGTGAACACGGTAATGAACCTTCAGGTTCCATAAAATGTTGGGAAGCTCTCGAGTAGCTGCACAGCTGGCGGCTTCCCAAGAAGGTCTCAGCCCCATGAAGTTAGTATTGTAATAAGTCGTTATTCAAATCTGTATTTCCTGAATATAGTGACTCCGCGATAAAAATGTCTTGCCTCCAATGTGTTTTCGAGACAGTGTTTCGGATTTAGAAGAGGTCCAGCATGTTTGACGGCTGTAACAGATTTTTTTTTTTATAAATTCGATTTGTCAGGCTCATTAGTTGACAAATAATACAAACAAAAGACTCCGTGGTCTGTAGTCCGCAAACGAACTATACCGACGGAGCGAATTCCGCTTGTCAGCGAAGTTAGTGCCAACTTTAGCGGATATAGGGTGTCGTGTGGTCAGCGCGACGGATCCCCACGGCCGATAATTTATATTTTCTAAACCGTAGCCGCTGTTTCCATAAAATATCTCGTCAGTCATCCTCACGAGACTGAGTGGACCCTCTTCCAGACCCAGTACGTCTCAGAAAATCTGTTAACTCCGGGAATGGAACTCGGGACCTCTGGATCTGTAGCCAGGAACTCTGACCACTAGACCACAGAGGCGGTTCAGTTGATATACAGTAGCATCCCTAATGCTTTTAAGTTAAACTCCTGGACCTCACTGGTCTGTTGGCGTATGAATTTTTACTGATTTTATGTTGTCCACGAATGTCTGAATTTCTTGCGTACATTCAAACGATTTATCAGTAAGCTAGGCCTGTGTTGTATCAGTGTCAAGAGAGAACATAGTATCCATTACGTCATTTTGAAATTTGGTTTGTACTACGTAATTCTTGAACGGTTTGGGAATCCGAAACAGCGAACATCGCAGTTGAGTCGTAATTTGGATGTCTCGGGTTCTGTTCTTGACCCGGTCGGTTTTCATGGCTTTCCTCAGTCATTCGATACAAGTTCTGGGACAGAACTTAGAATAGGTCACAGCCGTTTCCGCATTGTTTTCAATTCATCATTCACAACCATCCTCATGTTCGATTCGTTGCAGTTAGAGAGCGTCGTTAAATAAGCAAGCGAGAGAATTAGACACGCTCTGTCGTTCCTGTATCTGTCAGCACCTGCACGATCCACTGCACGTATGTCATCACCTGGATAACTGGAGAGCGGATGCTCATAAAATGTAATACAGTACCTTTTCTGAAAGCAGATCGAGTAACGCCCTGGTGTGACGAAGCGCCTAAGTGAACGTGGAATATCTGTGTCATAAAACCTTTCTACCACACCTCCCACTTCCGCAACTTTAGTAAAAATTATGAACAATTCCTCATTTTACTTCACAGTGCATGTAATGAAGCCGGTGTTAAAAATGTGGCATGCTAACTGCTACTGTTTTTAACTCGACTTGCTTTTGCATCTCCCCTTTCTTATTTGTTCCCGCCTCCGCGAAATTTGTCTCATGTGGAGCCAGACAGAGGTAGACACGGCGTGGGTCGGATGTTTATAAGGTCGTAGTTACGGCCTTAAACTTAATATCTCCGTTGTGCAAGTGCCAATGCTCAACAACTTGGACTCATAACTGAACTGTGAGAACGGCACGGACGTAACTTCGGATAACGCTGCTCCTCGAGAAGTACTAGACAATATGGCGGAAACTGACTACAGGAGAGACAGCTTTCGAAACGTCTCTTTTAACCAAAAAATCGAGACTACAAGGAACGTTAGCGTGTGTTTCTTTTTAGTGGCATACTTCGCTAAACCGTTTAGACTCATCTGAAGTCTGAATCGCCATTTTACATTCCTCCATTGTTCAGGTTACGCTAAGTTTGAGTTGGGTCATCTTGGTCCGTCACACTAGTAGCCGTATAAAAGATTATTAATGTCGTCCAGTGTGATTGATAAATGTTATGTTTTTTTTAATCTTTCATCTTTTACGACCGAAACATGTAATGGATGAAGGATTAAAGAAACGCAACATTTATCAATCACACTGGACGGCATTAATAATATTTTATATTACACTAAGTATTCTGCAACATGAATTTATCGTCTGTATGTTTCGTGGGTCACGGAGCGAAAGACATTAATTACAGTTCGCCGTGTTTTGTAAAATTTCGTATCTAAAAACATTTTTGTGTAGGGCAGGAAGTAGATACAAATGCGCATGATTTCCATCATGCAACATGTTCTCTTCCCAGTAATTACGAAGTGTGAAACATGTTTTGGCGTGTGTCTTTTTGAGGCCCTCCGTTGTTTGAATACATCCGTTAAAGTTACAGTAAGAGATAGCCATGTAGTGTGTTTATAATTTAGCCAAATAGATACATTGACGCATTAGTTGCATATTAAACGTTAAACTCAGTATTATATATAAAATTATTAAATCTAATTATTAATTATTAAATCTTTCTAAATCTGATGCACAGTAATAACAGATGGACGAGTCACATATCGCGGAAGAGTTTGAGTGTCAATCTTGATTAAACTGTTAAACCATATTACTTGTTACTTCTTGAGTTCGCCACTAAAAGTTATTTGTTAATACTCGTATGTCTATAGGTTTCCTTGTGTGTATAACAACTGATGCTGGCTGGAGTATATACGAGGAGCGTTCCGTATATAATGCCTCCTATTTTTTAATGAAAACTACAGCAGATACAGAAAGCATAATAACACAGTTAAATAGAGAAAGATTTCAGCTACTTACAGTTATTTTTCCACATAATCACCACCAATCGTTATGCAGTTTTGCCAGCGATGAACAAGAGCCTGTATGCCGTGCTCGTAAAAGACTGCGCCAGCAGAGGCTAGCCACTTTCTTACAGCTGCAATGACAGCATCGTTGTCTGGAAAATGTTGCCCTCGTAGTCCATCTTTCATAGGCCCAAAGAGATGGAAGTCTGAAGGTGTTAAATCGGAGCTATAAGGTGGATGTGGTAGGACAGTCCAGCCAAAATTTGCAGTGTGCGCTCTGTTCGCCAAACTGGTATGGGGTCTAGCGTTATCGTGTTGCAAGCGAAAGGTCTGCTTCTATGGCCTGACTCTGGAAATGCAGGCTTTCAGCTTAGTCAGCGTCGTCTTGTAGCATTCAGAATTGGCAGTCTCGCCAGGCTCCAGGAAATCTAACAAAATCATACCCCGCCTATCCCAAAAGACCGTGCACATCACTTTCCCTGCCGATGGCTGTTTCTTGAACTTCTTTTTTCTTGGGGAATCCGGATGTCGCCACTCCATGGACTGTCTTTTGGATTCCGGCTCGTAGTGATGACACCACGACTCATCTCCGGTGACGATGCTATCCAGAAACTTGTCACCTTCAGCCTCAGACTGTCGCAACAGGTCCTGACAGACTGCCATTCGATGAGTTTTGGGGTCCTGTGTAAGCATCCGCGGGACCCACCTGGAAAAAAACTTTGCGATAACCCAGCTTCCCCAACGTTGTTTCCAATGCATTACAGCCGATATTAAGCCGTGCACACAGTTCCCTGGTGGTTATCTGCCGATCTGTACAGATGAGCTGATCGAGGCGTTGTTCATTGTGAGGAGCGGCATCTGAGCAGGGACGCCCAGGGCGTAGCTTGACGTGCACTTCACTCTCGCCACTGTTGAAACGCACTACCCACCGCCTCACTGTGCTGACATCCACTGTATCGTCTCCGTACACCTTTAGCAAGCGTCGATGGATGTCAGTGGTTGCAATTTGTTCAGCAGTGAGAAATTCAATAACACGTCTATGTTTCATACACATTTCTATGTCAGACGCCATTTTGGTAGACTGCTCTGCTGTCGCTATATGTCGCACGACAACCAAAGTAACCGTAGATTGGCGGGAAGGTTCGCCCTTTACTGCAACACCACCAACATCTAGCTCAGACGTCACAAATTAACACAAAAAAATAGGCATTATATATGGAGCGCCCTTCATATATAGGCTAGTGCGTGTTTGTGTGTGTATAGAGTGTATATTTTCCCGTCGCATAGTAGAAAAAAAAACTAAGTTTAATCTGCTTTTGTTTCTGCTGTTGGGTACCGTGTTCTAGTATTTTGAGAAAATAGGGCGCATATCCACCAACATTGAAACCACATATTCTGTAGAAAATTTACTTTTTTTTCTCTCTTCTTCCTCTGCTTTTCTACTATGTACACGTATGTCTACAGCATCCTTTCACAGGCAAGAAAAAATGTACTATTTGTTCACCTAGCATGTTAGAACCTAAGACTGAGAACAAAAGAGCCAGAGATGTCTCTGCGCTTAATTAATTAAGTCGTGTGCCGTGAAGACATATGCCTGTTGCTATACCGACTGAGCTATTTTAGCTACCGTTGGTAGACAGAAGTTAACAAATAATTGACCAAAACATAAATTACTTCAATGATAAATTATTCCCATAAATAAAACAATAATAATAATAATAATAATAATAATAATAATAATAATTAACATGTCGGTGTTTAAATTTATAAGCAACACAAGATTATTGCACTCGAATGGGGTTCAGTCCTATGACCATCTACACACGAGCCCACCACGCTAACCCCTGAGCTAAATTTCGTATTACAATCGAGTTTCCATCACAGTGCAGCCGTAAGGCAAACTTGTGAGTTAAGGGGGCGGGTCAACTTGACGGGAGGAGCGTCCGTTTCTTCAGCCAAAGTCCTCATGGGGGGGGGGCACTACAGGACACTGATAACACAGGACTTGTAGAACTGAAGGTCTCTGCAACAGGAATTTATTTCAATTTGAATGAAATGACGGTATTCTCACTCATCTCTAAATACATAAGTGAGAGTTTTGTGTAACATGTTGCAGGCGAGACAGGAGCAAGGGGTTACTTCGGAGTGGCCATCACCCAGCCGGCTGCCCAAGACCAGACCTTCCCCCGCGCGTTCACTGCGCAACAATGACACCATTAGCAACAACAACAACAACAACAACAACAACAACAGCAGCAGCACCATCATGACCCAAAGTAAGTATCATGGTCTTTGCCCTTGGACTCAGCTGTTCATGCACTTTCCTACAGAAGCAACTGGGAAACAATGGTACCCATATTCCACAAACCCACGTATGTAGCTGTGTTATGCGAGACAGTTACATTTTGAACCATATGACTTGCTTGGCATTATGTGGGGCCATATTATGGAAAAGTAATGAAATTTGAGCAAAATAGTTTGAACAAGTTGACATAATGGGTATTTTTTTATGAAGAGAGCAGGTAAAGCCATCCATCCTATTACCAGGCAACCTGCTGCAAGACTGTATTTCCAGTGTAAGTATGTTTGAATTTACCACCGGTGTATGGATACCGGAAGTATGCTTAGAACAGAATAGTGCAATTTTTTAATGATAATATAATGAGCAATGTCACCAGTAAATGATAACACACCCTTATTCCTAGGGTGGATGGAGTTTGACAGGAATATTGAGAAAGTGAGAGTAACTTAATAATATGTACTCTCTGCTGAACACTATCAGTGTAGTCCAAACAAAGAAGATTGGATGGGTGACACACATAGCATGTATGAGGGCGATGAGAACATTCACAAATATTTTGGTCAGAAGAGTTGAAGTTAAGAAACAACTTTTCAGGGCTAAGTGTAGAGGGGAGATAATATTTTGCTTTCTTATGCATGAAGTGAATAAAATGAACTCATAATGGAAGGTTATGGTTTGTCAGTCTGTTAGCATGTTACATTTCTAGTACAACATAGTGGATTTTTACTAAATTCGGTATTTGCACAAGGAACATCAGAGGTTGTCTAGTTAGTTTTATTTTGGTTCCTGTGGGTCAGGTCGGTAGTTTATGATGGTGTTAACTGGCAGGCTTTGGTATCAGCAGTAGTGAATACTAGAATGGCAGTTATCAGTCTGATATGTCCCTTACTTTATATAAACTCAGATAGAATGGTACTTGTCAAAACTGTTTAGCATGAAAAGAACTGGATCATGACACAACTACATATATAAAGGCCTACACATATGTATTCAAATTAATTTTGACTTTCCTTGCTTCAAAAAGGAATGTTGATACATTGCATAAATATAGATCTTTTTAGGAGCTGCAGTTAAACACACACATGCATACGAAGGGGGACCCAAAAATAACCGAAAACGACCTGTTGCGCGCGCATGCTTTGTAGTTACGAGTTGTGCTGCTAGGTGGTGTTAGCTGGGGGTCTCCCGCGACTGTTAGTGAGCTGGCGTCAGTCTGAGTTAAGTGGTTTGTCTGTGGTGCTCTGTTGTGTGCGTTCCTGTTTCAACCCTTTGGCGATTAGTGAGATGGCCGACCAGAAGGAACAAAGAGTGTGCGTGAAATTTTGCTTTCTGTTAGGGAAAACTGCACTTCACTCTTCAAGTCGCGGCAAACATTCACGTGGTTTTCTCTTTGGTCATCTCCGAGCAAGCGAGGAACAAATTTTGCAGACACCCGTCTCATGTGCAAACCTTCGGTTAAAATTCGCTGGACCGTGCTCTATGAGATGTTCGTTTCCTCAGAAAGTTGGTCAATGGTCTTTCGACGATCTTCATCAATTGCACGTTTGATTTTGGCAATGTTTTCGTCATTTCTTCCTGTCGAAGGACGCCCGGGGCGTGGCATGTCTTCTGTTGACATGTTGCCAGATTTGAAACGGGAAAACCACTCGTAGACCTGTGATTTCCCCAAAGCATCATCATTAAAGGCTTGCCGAAGCATCCCAACAGTCTCGGCTGCAGTTTTCCCTAACAGAAAGCAAAATTTCACGCACACTCTTTGTTCCTTCTGGTCGGCCATCTCACTAATCGCCAAAGGGTTGAAACAGGAACGCACACAACAGAGCACCACGGACAAACCACTTAACTCAGACTGACGCCAGCTCAATAACAGTCACGGGAGACCCCCAGCTAACACCACCTAGCAGCACAACTCATAACTACAAAGCATGCGCGCGCAACAGGTCGTTTCCGGTTATTTTTGGGTCCCCCCTCGTATACAAGCATATAGATATAGGCCCTGCACATGTATATATATATATGTATATATAGTAGACATCATAAAACCCACATGGTAGTTTATGTGCAGAATATCAATTCTGTTGGCAGTGCTACAGTTAATTCCTATGTTCTGTCATTTTTAGGTTGCCCTACCCCACCACAGAGTCGACGGAGATTCTTTCTCAGCCCCAGGTCATTGAGAAACCCTTGGAACCAGCGTGGATGCAATGGTCTACGAGTCCCAGCTGACAGTATGGACAACCCTTCTGCACTCTCTGGTGAGTCATGCATGTCAAACATAGTGAAATTGTGGTTTCAGTGTAATCATTATCAAAACTGTTACGAAGAGGCACAAAGTATTTGTAATATATAGCCCCTCTGCATAATTACTATTCCAGGGGTGTAAGAGAACTAGGTGTGAAGTGCCATGCATTTTTAAACTTGGGCCTAATTAGGATAAGTGGTCAGCTTTGAATTTGACCACTATATATGTGGGTAAAGATCCCCATGCATCCATTAACTAAGAGGCTAGATATGCCTAGAACCAGTCTTGACACCATGGTAATGAAGATAAAAATCCATGCTTGGAACTGAATTCTGCTCATCCATGCCATCACCATTTGCTTTACTGACTGAACTGTTTATACTTATTATGAGTGTTTGTCCTTACATATCGTACCATGTTTATAATAGAAGGTTTCCTTTGTCATGAATGAATTTCAGTGAAGAAGTACATCAGTTAAATTCATCCAGATGTTGAAGTATATCAAGAAGACAAGGTTCTGTCTATGACAGCCATAGCTTAGGGCAGTGGTTTGTAAACCTTCCTTTTTGTATTTGTTGAAGAATAAAGAGACTAGGCTGGAAAATGTGTCATTAGCCATCCTTGTATTGAAGTATAGTTAGCATGACTGTAGGATTCTTGACTCTTCAAATGTGTTTAGAAATACCATGTTTGTTATTAGCTTACAGGTATAAATTGAACTATGGTGTATTTGTCTCTCCAATTATCCACTCCTCTCTAGCATCCATGACATCCTCAACAGAGAGCCGATACTGGCCCAGCTACGTTCTCAGCAAGATCAAGTCTTTGTGGTCTGTGGGTGGAAGCAATGCTGGGCTGAACCAGCTGGCAGCATCTACAACAGGCATGCTTATGTCTGACAGTTGTTTTGCTTGTTTGTTATGTGACGTGTTTGTTGCATGAGCGATTTGTGCAAATAGAAAAGATGTTGTGCAGGTAAAACTAAAATTGCTTCATAAGTTTAATTCATCTACGAAAGATGTTATAGGCACCATCAAGACTCTTTTTGGGGGAGGAAGCAAAAAATTTGTTTACAACTTACACTTGAGCCATTTAAAACTTATTTTTACAAATTGTGTTAAGAGTATATAGAGTAGTAGAGTTTTAAGAATTCTTTCAGTTACTACTGCTACTTCCGCCTTTTCTTCAATTTATTTTTAATCCAGTGGGGTACAAAGGCTTGCCCACCCCCTACTGGCACCTCTAATGGATGCCAGAGTTACTGATTTTGGGCATGTTTTGCAACAGAGCATGAGTACATATTTTAATACAATGTCCATCTGTATGCATGTACACCCTCACTTTAGATTAATGAATCTGTTATTAAATTTTATATTTTTACTTTCTACTCAAATTTTCCTACTAAGTATGATCTCATCTACCTTTGGCAGCACAGACTTTATTGGAAGGTCTGAAAACATTCTTATATATATGTGTGTGAATACCTTAAACAGTAATTATAGCATTTAAAAGATGAACTAATGATATGTACACATATATATAGTCATTCTTTTTATTGTTTGTAAAATATCAAGCAACTTTAAAGTATATATGTACATAAAACATACTAATTTGTAACATGATGTAGGCATTGGATGTGGTCAGTGAAGTTCAGTAATATTCCTTCATATCATATTGAATCAAATTCTATAAATCCAAAACAGAGCTATAAAATGGGCTTGTTGGAGCTAATGGGCACACATGTGTTGTTGCAAGTTATACCCAACACTTCTAGCTGTCTTTTCATTTGAATCCCACAAAAATGTTTCATATCCCCATCCTTAGGGTATAATTAATTTGTAAAGAAATTGCAATGAGTAGATTCAAAAGGATTCTGATGGTGGTGCATAACACTCAGAATTACTGGATTTTTGGACTTTGCCCATCATCCAGTATTCTTAAAAAGAAAAGTAGAGAAGGCAGCGTTTCTGAAATTGGATCTGTTTCCATCTTCAGGTTAGGTGGGAGACACCTACTCTGTTGGGTCCCTTAGAAAGAGCTAACCTCAATCACTGGACAACCAGTGTCAATGTAACTACAGCTGTATAAATACCTAAAGTCCAGAAACCCAGTAATTCTGAAATTCCAAAAAGTATGTCGGTCCCATCTCATGTGTGTCAAGATAGTACGCCATTTTCCTCTTCTACAAATTAGTGAACGCTCTAATTATAAAGTGAGTATTATTTCTTAGGGAATATCCATCCTGTGTACAAACAACAATGTGAGAACTGAGATTACCATAATACATTTAATGCAGTTTTGTGGAGCTAATGCTTGAAACAAATACATATCAGAGGGTGTGTTCATCCGCATGTTTCATCTTCAGAATTATTCAACATATTCTGTTGCAATTTTGTATTGGGGGGAATTTCGGTTTGACCTGTGTCTGTCTAATGACTGTAAGTCTGACGTTCTGAAATTTTACAGAAAAATTGTTCATTGTGCAAAAAGTTATGTGTATTGTAAAATACAGATCTTAGTAAAGCCTATAACTTTCAATTGAAATGTTTTTGGTTACGAGGAAAACAGTACACTATCTGCACTGCTTATTATTTTAGCCATCATAGTTTTGTATCTATGGTAATGAATGTCAAGACCAGTGAGGCATAAGAAATCTCTTTGTAACTCCAAGTTGGATTACACCTCTTTGCTCCTATTTAATTAATTTTCCCTATTTCAAGGTTGTTTCTTTGATTTTTGTTAAGAGATACTGCATTTTTATGCATGTCTGAGTTATTGTTAATGTTACTATTATTGTTATATGATACATTAATTTTTATTATTTTCTGTGCATGCTGTGTGGCTGTTTAATCAGTCTTGCTGAGTTACTGCAAAATGTTTTATGTCTGCATCAAAATGATGGACAAACAAATAAAAAAATGGCACACTCATTCATGAATTTGTTTGTTTGTACATACTCTAAGAGCAAAATGTTGTGTATAGTTACTGTGCTTATACTTGAATGCTGTATGAAAGAATGTTCTAACGTTGAGTATTATCTGATTTACAGTGTTATGTGTAATAGTTTTGAGAAGTACTATGGTTAAAGAGAAGGTATATAGGTGTGCCTCCTCCAAAAACGTGAGTTGTCATGAAAAGACATTTTTCTTTCTTGTAATATGTAGCAAGAAAAGAAAGATTTGGTAATGAAAGTAAACATATATGAGGGTTGGAACTTTAATAGTGGCAACACTGCTGTAGAGACGCCATGCAATGGAACCAAATAATGTCGCTTATACCACACGTTAGTTACATACCTGCCTTACCTCAGAACAAATGGACTCTCCCTTCCCACATCACGTGCATGCGCAGTGACGAGAAGAACAGAGCCTCGTGTTAGCTGGCCGTCTAATGTAGTGTTGTCACGATGTTTTCGAAACAGGAACAATGGAGTTGGATAAAGATTGAACGTGCCAGAGACCGTACAGCACGAGTGTCATCAAGATCTTAAAGAGGCTTATGGGGAATCTGGCACACATGTAAAAATGAAAACTTTGAATAATTCATGCAGTGACCTGTTTGGGGCAAAATTATATCCCTTTTTAACTCCTCAATACTTTGATGCCCCTTTAATTTTTTTCTGCAGGGATGGGCCAACTGTGGACAGCAGGCCAGATCTGGTCTGTGAGAAAATGAAAATTATGCATAAATTGGTTAAAAAACATGTTAAATCAGTTGTACTACTTGGTTTCACACCTGTTAAGTCACGTGTTCGCCAATCTGGCATATTCTGTGTAAAGTTTGCCCTCTCTGGTTTATATGAGCATCAGAAATGGTGATCTGTAGGGACAGCAATAGAATCCCACTTCCTCAACATTTTCAGTTGAATAATTGGTTTATAATTAGCTGAACTTAACAGTTGTATGGATTGTCAGCACAGAAAACAAGAAATTATAGACAGAACTTTTTCTATCTAAATGAAAATTTTGTAGGTACAAATGTGTGTTGTTTGGAGACTTAATTCAAGAATGATTCATGTTTTCATAAACTGTCTGCATAAGTTAGAGATACATTCATTTCCTCAAATAAATGTTATTAAGACAAGTACTGAAGTTATAATTGATCTTTCAGATGATGAAGGTGGCACCATAAAGCCGGTGTCTCATGGAAAGAAGTCCTCCCAGAATGATCTGTATATGCGTTTGGGACTCCTGCTGGGAGACAATGCCCGTCGGTCCACAAGAGTAGCTCAGTCCCCACCGCGTCAACCTGGGTCTGCAGCCAACCGCAGCTCTCACAGCCATGAGTCATATGCTTCCTTTTCCTCACTGGCCAGTCTTGAGGCCCATACACTGGCTTCAACGAATACCAGCCCTGTGTCCACACTTACAGGTATGTTCCACTGTCAGGATCGTATAGGCATCTCCCATTATGCAGAAGATACATTCCTGAAAGTGATATTCTGTCTGTTATGCTACACATTACATTGAATTAATGAATAAGGTGTGAACCAAACTGGCCCTTACACTGAGACCTTTTGTGATCTGTTGTGCATCCCCTCCTCACACTTTGAATGAAGTGTAGTATTATGTTTAGGGGTCATTTAAGCAGTCACATAGTTTCATAGAACAAAATCCCAGTTGCCAAAATCTGAAGTTAACTAAGGCATAATTGTCACGTAGAATATGTCAGCCTGTTTCGTGTTTGTTTTTGCATATTTCTCAAGTGTAGTAATTAATTAATCCCAGTTCTAAAAAGAAGATGACCTTTCAGGTGACACTGCCCTGTAAATATTCCTGTAACCCATCTCAGCTTGTTCCTGTACAATTCTAATAGTTCTGTAGTCCTCTTGCAGAGAGGTCCTTGAAGAAAACCTGTTGCATGTCTTGGATCCCAGTGTTTTTTGTGGCCTTCATTTGTCCAGTCCCTGACAGCCTTCTTGGCGACTTCTGCTGAGATGCTACATGCTGGTTCAGCACCTATAATGCTCCATGTTTTTTTTTTTTCATTTTCCTCAGTTCCGCAGCATCCTGGTAACAATACCAGTTGAATTCTGTCATGTTCAGCCAATTTTACAAGGGATTGGTGGTGGTCCTAGACTACTTTGGAACTGATCTGGTCATTTTCAGGTGCTTTAATTATTGCCTGACTGACTGACTGACTGACTGACCGATTGACTAACTGATAGACCACAGATGTTTCAGTATATAGTTTTATACTATAGTATAAATAGTATAATAATAGTAATAATAATAGTATAGTATACTATAGTCTTTATAGTTTGTACTGCACATGCCTTAATGGCGTACATTATGCCTGTTGAAGCTAAGATTCCTCCAGGTACCATATCCATACACCCCAGCCTAAGTGCCTTCATTTTTCTCTGAACCAAACAATTTTCACATTTCTGTCAAATTGAAACATGCTTTTCAGTCACTACTGACAGGAAATATGACCATGAAAAGCTTATTACATATATTTGTCAGTATCATTTTGACAGCCCCTATCTACAGGATGGATTCTTCATGCTCTGAGACATGTTACTATGCCTATACCCTTTGGATTTGGGATTTCATTGTCACTGCAATGGACTCTGCAGATTCCATCTCAGGCCTCAGCTTCCAACTCCAGATGTAGTGGAGGGAGTCTGAGAAGGACCCAAATTGCAGCTGTTGAAATCTTACTCATGGCTCTAGTAATGCCAAAGCATGTCAGCCTTTGCAGTTTTACTGAGTTCAGCTCTTCTGGTTTTGAATTCCACTGTTATGACCCAAATTTGAGATTGGAGATGGTATGGTATTACCCAAAAGCTAGAGACTTGCGAAAAGAGTTTCGCAGCTATTGCCGTAAATTGTAAACACCGGGACTGGCAATTAGGTTAAGAATGTGAAGACTCAGCAAGTCTCGGTGTACTCACAAAGCCAGTAGCTTACCTCACTCGTACACTGGATTCAATCGCAAGAGGCTGCTTACACAGCAATAAGATGCAAGGGGTCCTCCCACAACCACCCAGGAGAGCCAATGAGGAGGTTATTATGAGGATTGAGGGCACTGAGGGGGAGTCACCTACCCTCTGTCGTCAGTGCCGAATCAGCGAATTAAAACGATAAATTAGGGAACTTCGGGGGATTTGGATCATGTTCTAACACAGAATATTCGGTTGTCAGCCGGAGGCTCTCGGCGACATGTATACCATAAGAGGGTGGATGACGGCAGTGATCTACATATGTATTGCAAGTAAGTCTCTTTGCTCATATACGCCATGCTGTTAAAGGTTATTGTTAATACAAGTGTTATTGTGAGATAATGAGGCAGTATCCAGTGAACCAAGTGAGAGTCAGGGTAGAACAGGGTAGGAATGAATGTACAGTAGCAGACGATGATAGGAGCGCAGTTTCAGAGCACCTCCCCTTCACAAACTAGGATGGTAGAATGAGTTAAGCAAGAAGTGTCATGTCAACAGATAAGAGCAGGCCTTTTTCTTAATGTATTTATTATTGTAAATAGACAGTGTACATATAGGAAAATGTATGCAGGGAGTTCTGATTCACCTGTTAGCAACCATCCCGACCTCAACCGAACCCGAGCTTCCCTAGCCAAGACAGCCGACGGCAGCCGAGTGCAACGTAGATGTTAGCAAAAGAGTAATAACCGATGAAAGGATTTATAAGTCCTCACCCCCTCCCCCTGAGGTGTAACATCCACCCTTGGCCACCAGGCTGTGTAGACCTTGTTCATTATCGTACCTAATTGCTTCTTCCAAGTTAGCCCCTTGCCTGGAGTTCATTCAAGACACTGTACTTCAGTAGACAGCTTAATCATTTTACCGAAGACAGTTGGTTCCTTAAGTGCCCCAGGCCCATGAAGAAGAATCGCAGTTTTGTTGCTTCACCCTCACCATGAGCCAGACCCTACTTGATTTTTAGCCTTTGAAACATTTTTCGCTGGTTTCCATAATATGTCCAATGAGTAATGGAGATCCAAGAGATCATCACTTTCAGTGCCCCATATGACTGGAAGATATAGATGTAGTGGGCTGCTGCCTGGTGCTCTGAGGTGATCATTCATGACACTGGCTCATTACTGCCCCAGTTCCATGCAGCCCTCAACATAATGCCTCACACCTTGGTTTAGGTGGACCATTCCTTTTCTTGCCATGCTTTTGCATATTATGCTACTAAGAGACAGGGGTATCTTAATATGTCCTTTGCTCAAATGCATTAGCTCTGATTACATTCGGTTTTGGTCTGGAAGTTGGTCTACCATGGACCGATAACTGGTCATTTCAATGTCACACTGATTTTGACAGATTAAATTAATTTATTTGAAGGTACAGTATCTTACCAGATAAAATGTAAAAATAACAGTGAAATCTCATTTTGTAAAGTCAGGCAGAGCAGAGCCCCTTTCATTTCTGTTTATTTGTACATATGACAAAAACCATCAGGTGCAAATTAATTTTGTACTTTATACAGGGTGCATCAGAAAGAATGGATGGATTTCACAGGGCAATAAAATAAGTAAGGCTTCATCAAATTCAAATTTTATTGTTACCATCAGATTCGCCAATACATGCAGTTTATTTGTGGAATACAGTATCATCCATATGATGTCCTTGCCTTCTGATACAGATGTCAAGGCCTTTTCAGAAGTTATTCTTCACTCTCGCGGTCATGTCTGGTGGAATCGCCGTGATTTGTTCTCGAATTGCTGTCTTCAGCTCATCCAGTGTATGTGATCGATGTTTATAAACTTCCACCTTCAAATGGCCCCAAAGGAATAAATCACAGGGCTCAAGACCAGGCGAATTTGCGGACCAAGGAATGTCACCGCGATGCGAGATGACTTTAGGTTCAACCTAGGTTGAACCTGTGGCACGAAATGAAGCCACCCACCGCAAAATTGTGTCCCGAGTAGGGATCCTATTGTGACGTCTGAGCCGAAATGAGTGCTGAAGGCTCGTTGAGTGACGATCACAGACTCTCTGTTTTCAAAAATGTTTCTACGATGAACGCACGCTGTACACCCAACCAGTCCATGTTACCAACTGAAGCTGCATTCTCCCGCCGACCCAACAGTCCCCCCCCCCACTCTGCGCCTNTCCCGCCGACCCAACAGTCCCCCCCCCACTCTGCGCCTTCCCCCGTCGCGGCGTAACAGTCGCTTGAAATCCAACCATCCTTTCTGATGCACCCTGTAAGTCCAGCATTATTTGATTGAATCTGGAAGCAGACCAGAACACAATTTCCTGAAAGTTAAGCTATTCAGAGGTGTAAATCATTGGCAAATAAGAGATTGGATGGTTGTTGCAATGGAGTAGTTCTCTTGAACAAACTTTTAAAAAACACTTTCTTGATGGAAAGGTACATTTAACAATATAATCAGACTGTCACGTGTAGGATGGTACATGTGACAATATGATGGGTTCTACTTCAAATGATAGGCTTTATTTGCACCTTGGTTACACTCTCTCTCTTAATCACATTTAAATACAGCACTGTTGCTGATTTCCACACACTGGTCCTCTCCTGGTACCACAACTAAAACGCAGGAACTATAACAGTCTCACTGAATCACACACTTCAGGTATTACACATGAATGAAGCCCTCTAATCACACACCAGGTCTTCACAGTCTGACTTTTTATTCTTCCTCCATGGCAAACTTTCTGCGGCTATCTTCCGCTGAGATCTCGGAACTGAAATATAGCGCCATATGTTTTTAAGGCAACTCCTCTACACAGACTCCATGAAAAATACTGTCTCCCATTGTTGTGGATGCATGTTTACCACTGTGTTGCCTGGCAACATACTTCTTATATCTCCATGCTTGTGCTCAGTGCGGACCAGATAGAAAACAGAGTTTCCCTTTTATTGTTGCCTGTATTCATGTTTAAAAGCTGTTGCCTGGCAATGCGTTCATCAGATCTATTACATTATTATCAAACTAATAATTAAATTGCTTGCAGATTCATCACATGTTATGTATCCCCAAATATATAACCATCATTTTCAGTGCTGTGATATTTTTAGTGAGATCTTCCTAAGTTTTTTCAGGTTGCTGCAAGGATAATGCTTTGAATTAAGCTGTCACCACTTCTTTTCCAGTGTTATGATATCACTTGACACTAAATAATTTATATGTAACTCACAAACAATCTATGACTAAAAAAACACACATATATGCACGCAAGAAAAATGGATGGAAGTCAAGTGAAATACAGTGGAACCTCGCTTAATGAGCACCTCTCATAACGAGTAATTCACATAACGAGCAAAACAAATTGTAAAAAAATTACTCGCTTAACGAGTGACATTTCGCATAACGAGTGACAAGAGGGGAAGTCCCAGATTGTGCGCTTGATACATCAGTCTGTGTTTAGCACTCATTCTGCTAGCATCTTAGTGTCGCTTGTGATCACACATTTTTCCAAACTTGTGTTCAGACATTTGTGACTTTTTGTGCAAAGTTTAATAACCCTTGCAAAAAATGTCCCCGAAGAAAAATCCGCAAAAAGACAGCCATAAGAGAATAAAAATAACCGTAGAAATGAAACGTAAAATCGTTGAAAAGCGAGAACGAGGTGTGAGCATGGCTGCTCTAGCACGCACATACAGTCGGTCTACATCAACGATTTGCACGATTTGGAGTTGCATTGCGTTTCACAGCAAGAAGTTGTGGAGGAGAGTTTGTCAGAGGAGGAGGAGGAGGAGGTAACAACAAAGCAACAATCTTCTGGCACAATAAGAGAAATGCTGAAAGCATGGGAAACTGTTGCATCATACATTGAGAAGCATCACCCTAATAAGGCAGTGGCTATGCGCGCTACAAATTTATTTAATGATAATGCTGTGTCTCATTCTCCTCAAATTTTGAAGCGTCGGCAAAAACAAATGTCTGTAGACAGCTTTCTAGTAAAAAAGAATTAGATATGTATCATAAATAATAAACCAATTATTTCGATTTTTTTTCTGCAAATTGAATTCACATTCCAGGTTGGTTCATTCTGCATAGAAGAAAAGATGAAGATGATTCACGCTCCTTAACAATGTATATATAATTTTCTTTGAATAAACGTTATACATAAAATTTTTTGAGTATTTTTTTCGGCATGGAACACATTATCATATTTTACATTCATTTATATGGGAAAAATTGTTTCACTTAACAAGTGTTTCGCATTACGAGTAAGATTCTGGAATGAATTATGGTCATTAAGCAAGGTTCCACTGTATCTTTTTCTGAAAGGAGATGCTTATTGTCTTTTGATTTTTCTGTCATTTTAAGAACTAAATTGTGTTAATTGGCTGGATGCTTCAGGTTCTTCAGAGGCAGATGTTCACAGTCACACACGGACATTGAAGGATCCTTCTTCAGACAGCATCACATCTCTCATGTCTGTTTCTGGCCAGAGCAACTGTTCCTCTAGTCCTGTCAGCAGGAGGCATTCTGTCACAAGTAAGTCATGCCTCACAAATCCAGAGAGGTTTTTCTGTAATGGCAGCATTTTCCCAGAGACAACAGACTATATCCCTCTCAGATTCTCAGCTGGGGAAAGTTTTAGGAACTGATGGTTTCATAAATAAAACATGGTGGTGATGTTCCCTGGAATGTAGTACACGTCCCAAATGGATAAGGAGAAAAAGGAACTTACAAATTACATGTGCAGAATATATTGAGTATATACATAAGGCAGTCAAAAAGTTCCCGGAATTCCCCTGCAGACGGAGAACGAGCGATAAGATTGCGCACACACTGTTGTGGTGGGAAGCTCAGTATTTTTGGAAAATTTTCGTATTAATGTATTTTGAATGACAATTTTACAGCATTTATAGAAATATTTATACATCTGTTAGCTACTTACTTATCTTCATTCAAATCTTATGAGTCACTAGAATTATCTTGAGTTTAACACACAGCCAGTTTTCTTTGGAAATACTGGAGGAAATAAGCCCACATAATATTCTTTCAATTATGGTAATTTATTTTATTTGTTTATTTGTTTTTGGTGTTTATTTATTAAAATGTTATTATTGGAAACTAAAATCTGCACATTTGTGCATCAGAAGACTCAACCATTTGCAGTACACTTTTTGAATCGAGATAAGCTCACTTGTAAATTAATTTAAATTCTTGTAAAATGAATTCAGTGACTTCTATGTATTTCTTACCCTTGCAGCATCCCAGCCTGGACAGGTAGAAGAACTAAATGTGTTCAAGAATCGGAGAACCTCTATACGCAGGTCTGCTCGCACAGGATCTGTTAAGGGGCCAGTTGATCCAAAAGGTAAATATTTTCACATCTGCATAACATTACCATGCCTTATATCCTTTCCTATAGCCAGTCTATTTAAAGGAAGACAAAATTATTTTCTAACAGGAAGGTTGGGGGGGGGGGCATGTTTGTGATAATTGTTAAGATTCTTGAAAAAAAAAATGAAATAAACTTATGTTACAATAAAAAGTATATCCTTATTTTAAGTTCTTGAATTCCTCATTTTAATTTCATATTATTTTTCTGTTTTATGTAAAAATGCACAATATATTGTTTCATACTGACAGAATCCCTGATTGGAACTACAAGCTGATCCAAACTTTTTGTATTAGAATGTGATAAGTTTAAGGTCTTTCATTCTGGTCCGTCACACTAACCAATTAACAATCAAGTTCCTTCCGTCAAATGTGACACTTTTTTAAGTGGTGACGAGGTGGAAAACTTAAAAAAGTGTCACATTTGACGGAAGGAACTTGATTGTTAGAATGTGATATTTCAACTTATGAAGTATGTTGCATCCTGTCATGAGTTGGTTCAATTTAATCCACATCATAGTGTTCATAACCTTATTTGATACTGAGAATGAATATTTGCACCCCATTTCAGAAATTTGAGCATAACGTAAAAGATAAAAGTGTCCCTGTACTTAATTAATTAAGAACTGTGCCAAGAGACTATATGGGGAATGAAGTATAGGTCCACCATTTTGAGTGGTCTGCTATATTCACTGGGCAGTTTAGCCCCAGGGAAAGAGCCTGCAGTATCCATTGGGTATGAGGCTGGGTGGGCCTCACAGCCGGTCTGGAGGCTGTGAAGCAGAGAAAAATCTCTTGCCTCTGCCTGGAATTAGACCCAGGCCATCCAGCCTGTAGCCTGTTGTTATACTGACTGAACCATGCTGGCTCTTCAGGAATTTCAAAGATAACTTATGATAGGTGTTCTTAATTTGTTTTCTTCTAAGCTATGTGCTACAGACAGTAGGAATTGATACAATAATCCATATTCTGGAATTCTGTATGAATGTTTTATTCATTCTTTTTGTCCCTTTTTTAAATACATTATATTTAAATCTTTAGTAATTTAATTTCATCTGATCTATTTGATTGCATCCAGGGTTCCAGAAATAGTCTTACACCCTCACCACAAAAGAATTACAGAGGCTCGTGACTAGTGATGTTTCAGTCCTAGCCTGAATATATTAAAGCATAATATTCTGGAATGTTCAGTTTATATTCTGAAGCTCAAAGCTGAGAATCACTGTTGATCACTGGGTAAATGGACCATGTTTTACTTGGATGGTTGACCACTATTCATCAAGCTAAGTAAATTATAGTGCAGATATACTGGCCACAATTTGCCATTGTTGAGGACTGCTATATAAAAGTTCATGTGAAATGTAATAACATTCACTTTCTCATAAAAATATTTATATGAAGCTTAATGCTGTGCTACAGGTAAGTGCTTTGTAAATGTAATCATAAATTATATTTCTTAAGCCCTAAATAATTCCTATAACATTTTAAAATTACTGGGGTTCAATATCTCAAATGTGTTCACAGTTCGGTTTGCACAGTACCGTGCCCCACAGCTCACTCTGAAGCCTCTGTTCTTTGAGGTGCCTCTGCAAGAACCTGACCCTCTGTTCCTGGGTCGCCACTGGCTTATCCGTGAGATGGAGGAGTCCCTGGGTTCAGCTAGTCCTGGAGTTCTGATTACAGGAAATCCTGGCACTGGCAAGTCTGCCCTTATCCTGCAACTGGTAGATTACAGCTGCTTTGGGAGGAGACGGGACCCCTCCTACCAACAAGGCAAGTGACAGCAACCAAGTATTGCTAATCCCTTCAGTGTATGATAATACACTTACCGCTTACCCTCACCAGATAGTGCTACGGGAATATAATGATTTTATTATATGCAAAGAACACTGGTATGTAGATATGTTGCTAGGCAATGACCACAAAACAAACAACTAGACAACAGCCATTACTAGGCAGCAGCCTGTAAAGAGAAACAGAGGAATAGTGTTCATGCTGAGAAGTTATGAGCAGGACAAGTGAGGAGTTAGTTAGTGATAGTCATTTTTGTTGAGCTAGTTGGTTGTTGAATGATTGAGTTGGTCAGACAGTGAGTCAGAGAATCGCTGCAGTACAGTCATTGTGAGTTGTTGGTGTTAGGAGGTGATAGCTGAGGCCAGGGACAGTTCAGGAACCCAGAGGAAGGGGAAGCCACTACCGAGTAACAGCTAGTGAAGATGTGACTGTGGACACTAGTATGTATTTGTAATAGAGAACTGTAAAGTGTAGTCACGTGCGATAGCAAGGAAGCCAGGAAGTCAATCCAAAACCCGTCTATAGTCACTCCATAAAATCATGGCAACTGGTGTCAGAAGTGGGATTTGATTGATTGATTGATTATTGGATTGAAGATTGCATTGTATAGTTATATCATCATACTACAAAGATGGAACAAATACTGCCATGCTTGCTGCCCAAATGAATGCTGTGTGAGAAAAGATGGACACCCACCAAGAAAGGATGGATTCCCACCACGAGGAGATGATGAAGGCCTGTCTAGGAAAGATAGAGGTCAGGATAGAAACCAGTTAGGAAAAATTTGATGCCACAGATTTGGAAACAGACCCAGAAGAAAAAAGTCCTTAGTGGAGCAGCAGTAAGCTCAAATGTAGAGGTGGCAGTGGAAACGATTGGAACACCGAATGAATTGTCTAGGGACCAGGAACTGGCCATGGGATACTGGAACCCATTGGAAAGGTGGACCAAGGATGATATACAAGGAACCCCTAAAGGACCAACATTTGAGAGAAGATGTCAGACACAGCCAAAACGAAACAGTTGCATAAGGGATCGAGAACTGTATCAGCAGCTATGAATGGGAAGCAAGGGAAATGTCAGTGAGAACCTGAGAAAACCATAAATCTGGAGATCAGGCCTCCACTCAAACGGAAAAAGAGATTACTGGCAGCTTAAGAGCGAGAAATGTAGGGGCACTGGCAACTCTCGGAAGTTTTGTGCACATTATCAGAAAAGATGATGGTGGTATACCTGGACCATCTCACAGATCAGATTTAGTTGTGTTATTACAGTTCATATAGATTATAGGTGTGATATCAACATGGAAAGCAACCACATCCAAGACAAGGAATCGGTGCTCTATCTAGGGGAGAGTAATAGCATTGACAGCAATGGAAGATTTTTTGTAGGACAATAATGTTCAAAAATGTGTAAACGTATAACCAGAACAAGATGTACAAAAAAATAAGTTCTGTGCAGTGCATAGGTATAGAAAGAGAATTATTTTCTCTTACGATTACTTTCTTTGGGTGAGATGATTACTGCCATGGCTGTGACTCAACTTTCTTTGAAGTTACTGTATGTGGATCATTTCACTGTGGCTGGTAAGGAATTTGCACTTAGCCTGCCTTTCACTGAGTTCAAAATTGGCTGTTGCAACAGCATCTACTTGAAGATGGAGACAGAATCTGTAAAACAGTGTATACATTTTTGATCCATATAATGGACAAGTTTAAAGGGTCTCCCATAACATACTAGTCCATTGTCATAAACCTTTAGAGGTACATCTCCTGTTCTTCTTTGGTTATCTTCAGATAATCCATGACACTACTTTAATGTTGCCTGTTACCTCAACCTACCACAATTAATTGTTATAAAATACCAGAGTGTTACAGTACAAGTCCAGATGTACAAAATCATACATGCACTGCCGACTTGTGCCTTCTCTTCCGTCTATAATGCAACATATTTTTATTTTTTATTTAAGATGACACCAAACTTTCATTCACCTCACTGAAATGTCAGTTAAAATGTCCTTAAAATGTCATTAAATATTTTCTATGTCTGGCTACATGTTTCGGCCTCACAGTGCCATCTTCAGGCAACACATTTTGATGGATGTTAACGACATTTTAAGAACATTTTAACTGACATTTTAGTGAGTTGAATGTAAGTTTGGTGTCATCATAAATAAAAAGTAAGAAGTGTGTGGCATTACAGATGGAAGAGAAAGCACGAGTGAGCCTTCAATACAACAAGATGCTGAAATGTAATACTGCTGACAGTACTGGGCTTGTAAACTCATAAAGTGAACATTTAACAGGCTGCTGTTTGTTTAGTTGATTTGTTTCTTTTACAGATCCATATATGTGCAATGGGAAAGACAGGCCAAGTGGGTCTCAGAGCATCTACTGCCAAATCAATCTAGTCTCAGAAAGGATTCGCCATCTAGCCTCACATGTTGTTGCTTACCATTTTTGTCAGGTAAGCACTGTTAAGTTTTCTTGACTTCAGTTATATGCTGAACAACAATATGGTTCACCTGCCCATCTGTGAGTAAGATTAGAATAGTTCTTGCATTGTGGTCATATGTGCCATTAAAATTTCTTCAGGTTTGTTCTGGATGCTGGCTTCATTTCATCTGAAATTTAGATAAGTTTGGGATTGTCTTCAAATGATGAGACTACAATAGGTAGTTTTAATGTAAATATTTGCAAAATAATTGCTGGTGTTTTGCCTGGTAACAGTTCCTGAACTCATAAGAGAAATGTCATTTCCTTACATTCTGTAATAATTGCTGAATATCTGTCTGTCCATCGTAATTTTATTAGACACTTCCATACGTAATTAAGATCTAGAACTGTGTACACACATAAAAGTCACGTGGTAATATCCAGAATAATAAAATGTCATGGAAAAGTTGCATGGGTTTGAATCTGGACATAATTTATTTTCCGTCTAAATGTTAATTTGAAGAGAAAAGTGGAAAAGAATTAAAATGTTTGTCTCCTTTAGAAGTAATTAAACTGTAAAATTTCCTGTATATCTGCTGAGTTGAGTGCTTAAAAAGAACTAAAATGTTTGTCTCCTTTTAAACTGTAAAATTTCCTGTATATCTGCTGAGTTGAGTGCTTAAAAAGAACTAAAATGTTTGTTTCTCCTAGAAGTAATTAAATTGCAGAATTTCCTGCATATCTGGTTGGTTGAGTGCTTAAAACTTATACAATGGAAATTTGTTTGTTAAACTATTAAGTCATAGTAAAAACTAAAGAGAACAAAAGTATTTCATTTTTACCTGTCCCTTCCATAAAAATGTGGAATTACTGAACTTGCAACATTTGCATCAGACCGTTCACATGAAATTCTGAACCATAAAGGGGATGGAGGAGGTGAAAAGGAAAAAGTATTTGGATTTGAAAGTAGCTGTATTTCAATAGGGAAATTCAAAATTTGATAAGACACAAAGATTAAAATTTTGAGTGTTTTGTGGGATATATGGTCATTTGTATAACACCTAAATTAAATCATAGAAAGGAAAGTTATTTACTTATTTAAGATGCCAAATGAAAAAGAAATGTTACATACTTGTCACTGATGGAAGTGCATGTTAGTTCTTACCTACAGATTACTGTTTCCACAGCACATATTTGCCCAGGTGTGTTTGTAACTCCCAATTCCATATTGCTGGCCAAAAACATCTCCAAGATGCGTTTGCTGGTTATTTTAACTTGGCTAATTTTCTTTCTCGAATTCATAAATTAAGTTGATATTAGCTCAACAATGGCTTTATAAATGCGCTGTACCAGAGAGTATGTTGTAACTGCAGTTTACATGAATTAGTCATAAGGAAAATGAATGAGTGAATGACACTGAGGCAAGATTTCTTACAGGCTGACAACAACAACACATGTCTGGTGCCTGACTTCATCCACTCACTAGCAGCTCAGCTGTGCCAGGCCTCCCAGCTTTTAGCATACAGGGAGTACCTGTTGAGTGAGCCACACCTTCAGGTCAGTTCATGATGATGATCTGTTCTGGAAAGATTTATATATTGTCACGTGTTGGGTATATGTCACATGACAAGTAACTTTACGCTGTCTTGGATGTAGTGAATTTGTTGAACACTCGCTCTTACATTTGCACAATTCACAGTTTCACAATTACTGCCATCTGCAGTATCACAATTACTTCCCCTGCTTCCATTCACTCTGGCGAATGCTAGACTGCAACTGACTGGTTACTCTCTCTCTAGTAACTCGCTCAATACTCACTACTCCTGAATAGTGTTCGCTGTTCCTTATTTAGGCTCGGCATGGGCAACATAGAGAAACCTTGCTGTTCGGAAACAGATATCAGGTACTGTTGTCAGGTGTTTCTACCTACACATTGCCTAGCAGTAGTTGCTGCACATAGTCGCCTGTTGTGTGATGTCACAGCCTCGCGGGGAGGGTTGTTTACCGAGCGTTGTGTAATGATAGGAGTGGGGTTACATGACATCACTCGTGGAAAAGCAGAGTTCACGTGACCTCTACTTCCTGTTGTGCCATCCACGTCACAGTATCATCAGTATCCATTGACATTTCCACCATGATAGATCATCTTGTGACAGAGCCTTCTCTCTCCTCTCATAAACACACCTTATGTATCCTTATCTACTCTTTCTATAGCAGTACTTCACTGTCTTTTATTTTCCCCCACTTACTACAGCTAGGCATTAATTTTCCTAGTGCTTATTTATTTTCTGTTCTCATTCATAATGATCTAAATGGAGTCCCATGGGTATCAATGCATAACACAAATCTGTACTTCTGTGTGTTTAATTTTAATATAGAAGGCATTCAATTGAGATGCTACTTGTGATAGTGCAGTGGTAGTTTATTGCATAACACTAGAGGGATCAGTGCAGAGGTTTCCCCTTTGTGGATGCTGATTCTATCAACTTGAACAGAATTTCACAACTGATAACTATAAAAAGGAGGCACAAACTTACAATATTTTATAAGAACTGGTGGACGTGGTCCCTTTGTGCTTTTAAGCATGCTTCCCATTGCATAAATGCTTTGTGACATTTTCCATAGCTCATCCTTGAAATCTAAATTAATTAGATCCTTTTTTCTTTCTGAAGAGCTTCCATGATGTGAAACTTATTCTTATACTCTTTTCCAGTGGTCCACCATTTTCTGACAGGCTTTGTTACAAAAACAAATGACTCTGTAGGAACTGTTCTAGTATGTGTTTATAAATGAAGCTCTAAAGGTATATTCTGCAAGTTTTGTTTCTTATGAAGTATTTGACTATAAAAATGCTGTGTTCGCTTATATATCTCATTGCAAGAATAATGGATTCAGAACTCAACATAAAAAGTTTTAAACAAGCAAAACCTTCCTTTGGGCTACTGCACTGGTATGGTGGTGAGGGTTGCATTCTCTGATCATCTGGAAAGCTGTGCTGCCTGTGCTACCTGGCAGTCAATGGATTGTTTTACCAAGAATCAAATTGAGTATTTTCCGATAGATTAAAGGCATGCATTAGATATTAGAGATGTGAGGAGCTGTAGAGCTACAGATTATGATACAGACTATTCTTTTGGTATGTATTTAATATTAATGGAGAATAACAAGAAGAAATATGATACTGAGGAACTAGAGGATAAAAAATAATGGAGAGATTTCACTGCGACATATTGCTGTGTATACCGTCTGGTTCAGTAGTGCTTCATGATTTTTGCACTAGAGGCAGCACATTTCTCCATGAATGCTGTGGGCAGAGACATCATGCACATTGATATTTTGTCATTTATTTTAGAAAATACGTCTATTTAAAATCATACCATCATTTATAAAAATCCCGTTCCATCAAATATACGAGTAGTTGAAATCTTTTCTTACATTTCCCGGTTCCAAATGATATCTCTTAAAGAGTCCAGTAAAATACCTTCAGTGTAGAAATCAGATCATAATTGCAAATTATGTAACATCACATGTGACACTGACTCAAAGAAATGTCAAAGTGAGGAAGCTGTTTGGACCAAAAGTTCATTTTCTTTATTAAGTGTGCAATTTATCTCAAAAACTGTGGCAGCTTAGTCAGTAACGTGACTGGTGGCAGCTTGGTTAACTAAGATGTCACTTCTTGGCAAGGGCATTTGGAATTTTTCTCTTCACCATCACTCCACGTAACCACCTATATAATGGAAGTAAGGATGGTACGGTTAGAACTTGACCGCTCACATCCATTTAATGCCAAGGTCAAAAGTGGGAAATAGACTTTTCATATATGCCACATATTATGATTCTTAGACACAGGACAGCTTAATCTTACAACTTAAACAAGTCCCATGAACTAAGATTTCACGAAATTGTCGCCCCATATGCTTCAGAAGTTTATGTTGCAAATCTTTCAGGGTTGGTGGTTTATGTATTTATATGTCTGGCATTAAATGCTGCTTTAAGAATCATGTTTTTACTTAATCCTGTCAGAACTGAAACACACATGCAGAAATTGGTCTGTATGTATACATGCATAGTCCTGTATCAATGTTATGAAGTTTGGACAGTTTATGAATATTCAGTTCTGTTACATTTATGATACAGTCTATTAATAACAAACTATGTGTATATTAAGTAAAGATGCATTTATTAAAATCATGTTCTCCTTTTACTTTTTCCCATGCAGCATTGATTTTCCTGCAAAAGAAATTATACAGAATGTGTCCCTTTGATTGGTTAAAGGAATTCAACTCGATAAATGCAATGTGCTTCACTGATATGTGAAGGGACAATTTTTTTTTATTATATTTTCAGGGTGCTGTGTCTATCAAAGAATGCATTGCAGACCCAGACTTAGCATTTACAAGAGGTGTTCTTGAGCCCCTGGGCAGTCTCCGTCGTATAGGAAAGATCCCCAATGAGAACTGCATCATTCTAGTAGATGCCCTCTGTGAGGCAGAGTACCACCGACCTGACCATGGAGATACACTTGCTTCATTCCTTGTACGCCACTCACCACATTTTCCTTCATGGCTGAAAATTGTTGCCACAGTCCGAACACAGCTGCAGGAAGTTACTAGTCAGCTGCCCTACCACAGAATCAGGTAACACCAAGCATTGAATTCTGAATTGTGAATGGCATTTATTGATCATACTAAGCAAGTGGGTCAGCAAGAGAGAGTCTAGGTAATTATGAATTGAATAAGCACAAGCCATGGTTCAGTGAAGGATGCTCAGAATTATTAGACCAAAAGAAACGAGCCAAATTGCAGTGGTTTCAGGGTCCAAGCCAAATAAATGGGAATAATCTGAGTAGTATAAGATGTGAAACCAGCAGGCAGTTCAGGAATAAAAAAATGGAATACCTGAAAGAAAAAATGGATGAGCTTGCAGTGAACACTAAGAACAAGAACATTAGAGACCTGCATAGAGGAATAAATGACTTTAAGAGGGGGTTACCAGCCTAGCAGTAACTTAGTGAAGGGTGAGAATGGTGATCTGCTTGCAGATTCCCACAACATTTTGAATAGGTGGAAAAACTACTTCTCGCAATTATTGAATGTACATAGGGTAGTGATATTAGGCAGATAGAAATACATACAGCTGAGCCATTAGTACCTGATCCTAGCCCTTTTGAGGTTGAAAGCGCTATTGCAAAATTTAAAAGTTTTAAATCACCAGGTAGGGATCAAATTCTGGCAGAATTGATTCAAACAGGAAGAGAAGTATTAGATCTGAAATCCATAACTTATTAATTCTATTTGGAATAAGGAAGAATTGCCTGATCAGTGGAAGGAGTCTATTATTGTACCAGTTCACAAGAAGGGTGATAAAACTGACTGTAGTAATTATCATGGGATATCACTGCTATCAACTTAATACAACGTTCTAACCAATATTCTTCTCTCAAGGTTAAATCTATACATGGATGAAATTATTGGGAATCATCAGTGTGGGTTTGGACATGACAGATCAGCTACTGATCAGATCTTTTGCATTCATCAGATACTGGAGAAAAAATTGGAGTAGAGTGAGACAGTATATAGGTATTCATAGACTTCAAGAAAGCCTATGATTCAGTTAGGAGGGAAGTATTGTACAATATTCTGATAGAGTTTGGGGTACCCATGAAACTAGGTAGGCCAGTGGTTCTCAAACTTTTTACCTCTGAGCCCCCCCTGACAAGAGAAAATACTCTCAGGCCCTCAGCCTGTTTTTTTTTACTTCAAAATAGAAGTCATGGTATGTTTGACGTTTTATTCAGTTTATTTTGTGTTTTTCTACATACTATTTAGCAGTTTTTTTACTCAAAATTAAAGTATCACAATATTAGGCCTACAATAGAAATTAGTTTTAACACTAGCAATTAACCAAAATATGTATTGAAATGAAACGATATTTAACTAACAAGTATTTAATTTTTGTCTGCAAAGAAAATCTAACATTTAAATGTCAAAAGTTCAGTGTGATGGATGAACCTGCTTTTGAGAACAAAGTTTATCAAAACGTGGTGTAATATCAGAAATGGCCACTCTAACTTCTTTAACAATATTTAGCCTTGAATGACACTTTGACTTTATAGCTGCCAAAGCAGAAAAGCCTGTCTCACATAAGTAAGTTGTTCTGAAAAGAATCAGGATCTACAATGCCTATTGGCTCAAAGTTGGGAATTCCTTGCCAGTATGTATCTAGAACTCCAACAAAGACAATTTCTTAAATTTACTTTTTAATGGAGTATCACTAGTGAGATCAATGAGTTGTTCTTGCTCATTTACCTTCAGAGATGATGGCCCAGGAGCATTTTCAAATGGATTTTTAATCCAATTAAATTTATCAAAATCATTGCAAAAGTATTTTTCGATATGAACTTTCAACATTATGAGATGATCAAGTAGGCAGCTTTTTATGTCCATTGGAAGCACTGGATTATCAGTGTCTTGTACCATTGACACTAGAGTAGGGAACAAGTCTAGCGTGTCACTTTCCATATTGTTTCTCCAGAGCTTTAATTTTCTCATGAATGCCTTCACTTTATCATTCCAAGAAATTACAGTTGCCTCCTTCCCTTGAAGTGAAGTGTTGAGGATATTTAGTTTCTCAAATATATCTGTCAGGTAAGCCATTTTCAACAAAAAATCCTTGTTGCTGAAACTGTCTGCCAGTGGGTGATTTTCCCCATTTAAAAAACAGAACACCTCATGTCTCAGCATGACATTCTCTCCATGATTTATTTAATCCGTCTTGCAGTGCATACACTCATTTTTCTCCTTCTCTCCCTCGCACTACATGTTTCGGCATAATAATGCCATCTTCAGGTGCTTACTTATCCACGTCAAACCAGTTCATTGCATGCCATGTTCACACATTAAAATAACTAAAATATGTATCTATCATATACATATCATATACATATAGATACATATTTTAGTTATTTTAATGTGTGAACATGGCATGCAATGAACTGGTTTGACGTGGATAAGTAAGCACCTGAAGATGGCATTATTATGCCGAAACACGTAGTGCGAGGGAGAGAAGGAGAAAAATGAGTGTATGCACTGCAAGACGGATTAAATAAATCATGGACTTAAATCAGTGCAACAGGACGCTAAAATATAACATTAAACATTCTCTTTAATACCTTGCCTCTTGAAAAACATCGAGCATCACTAAAAAATAACAGAGCAGTGTGTTCGGCACCCATTTCCTCACACAGCATTTTAAAAAGTCTAGACTTCAGAGGATTTCAGAGGATGCGGCTGCTGCCAAACCATCAACCCTGTCCCTGGCATACGTGTTTTATAATTGCCGGTAAAGAGAATAATTATTAGTTATTTTGAAATTCATGATAATTAAAGCCTGTACTCATCAAAAGTTTTTCTGTATGTATGTTTATTTTTTGTTACTTTTCTAATTGATTTAGGGCAGTTGTAATTAGGAAAGTATGCTGTGCCCCCCTTTCAAGCCCTTCGCCCCCCCCTGGGGGTCGCGCACCACAGTTTGAGAACCACTGAGGTAGGCTGATTAAAATGTGTTTAAACGAAATGTATAGTAAAGTCCGTGTAGCTGTATGTTTGTCTGATAATTTTCCTATCCAGAATGGTCTAAAACAAGGAGATGCTTTATCACCACTGCTTTTCAAATTCTCTACAAGCTGGAAGGTCAAGGGTTCAAGTCCTGATGAGGTCATTGAATTTTTTTTTTCAGTTTACCTAATCCTTCCAGCCGCATTAGGCCCTGTGGTTTACTCAGCCTCTAACAGAAATGAGTACCAGGAATTAATTAAATAATTTTCCTGGGGAGTAAAGCTCGGCTGGCGTGTAAGGCTTACAACCTTACCTCCATCTTTGAGCCGATTGTCTAGATAGTGTGGGACCTTCAACGTCTCACAACCCTATGGGCCTTCACGGCCTGGTACAGGGATAGCTTTACTTTACTTACTTTACTTTACTTTCCCACATCTGTTCAAATACCATGTACAGTCCACACACAAAGTGTAGTTTTTAAAGCTTCAAGTGTTTGAATTCTTTTCTTGATTTCACTTTTCATGTAGTACCAAAGAAACTTTCACATTTCTAATAGATTAGACATTACTCTATTTAAATAAAAAGTAGGAACATATTAATCTTCCAGACATTCTTCAGAAAATACATTTCTCTATTATCACATGCTGCCCAATAAAATTGAAAGTACAGTGAGGTTTGTGTAATTTATAGCCCATTGACCTAGAAGTGAACTGGAGTGGGAGTAAGAAGAGAGTTTTCATACTCTCCTGTGAATGTTTGAGTCTCCCTCTATTCTTCTTTCCAGATTTACAATATGTAATTGCTACGCTTGAATTATGCTTCCACTTATCAATACTTCTTCACATCATTGTGCTTAATTAAGCCCAGGGACAACTTTACCTTACACGCCAAGTTGAGTTTTCGTGTGGAAGGTACAGTACAAGAAAATTAATTTGCAGAGCCAGAAAATTGTAGGGGCCTTCACCTATATTGTTTATTGTTGTGTGACAAAAAGTTTTGTCATGGGACTGGATTGTTTAAAACACTGTTACTGTCCCCCTTTCTTTGTACTTATATGCCAGCTTCAGTAGACCACTTTATTCCTATCAGGATCATGTTACGGTAATAACTGAGGCAACCATAAACTGCACACTTGAAGTTAGTCCACTGCTCAAAATCAACAACAGAACTTCCACTGTTTACAAACTGTTTATTTATTCAGAAGCCAAATAGTATAACTTCTTTACAAGCATGGAGTAATATGGCCCTTTACTATTATCAGATTTTAATGATCCAAAGTGAAGTGCTGATGAATTTAGAGGAACATAAGGAGTGCAGTTCAATGACCTCTGCCTCCAGTTAATTCAAAACACCAAGTTTCTGAAGACTGGTATCCTGCAGGAGCATTACTTCATCCCCCAAGAAGGACTTGAATGGACAGTCTCTCTCACAGACAAAAATTAATTTCTTACTGGCTGAATTTAACTAGCCAAATTCATCATGCAATCAGCGCAAACCAATTGCAGAAAAAACTTTGAGAATGAAACAGTTCCCAAGGTATAGAACTCGGGACCCCACATGTGAGAGTGGTTATCTTCTTTAGTTTAGGGTCCAGCTACACCCTTCTGAAGACACTTTATGACAGCTACACATGTCAACAAAACAAAATTCACATTTTCGGAAAACTACAGACTTGCCTTCCATTGTGACCTTGTCCCCTTCCCATCATCCCAACTGCATGTAAACAAAAACAAGGCAGTTGTTTTCTGTCCAGATGCGAAAAACAACTCATGACATGCTAATAAATCGGTCTCATCAGTAAACCAGTCACCCTTCTGGAATGGCTAAAGAGGACCATAGCGTCCACGGAGAACTGTAACAGGTTTGGACTGTCATAACACTTCCCTGATGTCAGGTAGTGTTAAGAATATATTTATTAATCCTTCCTTCTGCTATTACCATGTCAGAGATCAGATGTGCTGTGTTTAACGTGCTACAAATGGGAAGGCTTAGGCAAGCATATCCTTTCTGACACATGGTTATATAGCGGATGATGTGATGGCATGTACCGAGTATGTTCCATCTTATTTTATCAAATCATGGCATAAATACTGTAATAACATGTGTAAACTGTGTTCAGATGAAAAGTCAACTTGATGATGCATTCTAAAAGTGCTATATCTAATAATGATAACAAAAGTGACAAAAGAAATCAGATTCAGACTCAAAAAAAAAATATGTGTATAATAGAGAAATAATGGATAAGGCAAATGATAATCCAAATGGAAATAATATATTATTAGTGAGAGTAGGATCCAGTGTTGAAGTTATGAACACAACTAAAGAAGCAGTGAAACAAGCATATTCAACCGAAAGTCAGTTTACAAGTACAAGTAATTTCAGAGATAGTAATGAAAAGAAAGACAGTGCTGTAATAACAAAAAAAAGGAGTAATTAGTAACCAAATACCAGTAATTATAAATGGGAGGTTAGCAACGAATAATGGTGATAACACTATATCCTTAACTGAACATGGTTGTAACAGTAGTATAACTAATAGTGGTGAAAACATAATTGTAACTTGAACAATTTCCACTTTTTTGGGGTTTGATTATCACTATGTGTAATTTCATTTTATGACTGCTCTGTATGTGACTGAGTTCTATTTTATGAACTGTTCTCATGTATGTTGTATATATTGAAATCTTGTGAAATGCATATGTTTTGGTGTTGCATAAGCTTTAATAGGTTGTAATTTAATCGATTTTAACTTTAACAATTTCTACTTTTTGTAATATATGACATAAACTCCATCCTAAGTGCAACAATTTATTGTAGTTCTTTCATCTTGCTTTCTTCTACACTACGTTTAAGCCACAAACGGCCATCATCAGGTGTATACTCTCACGTAGCTGCTACACTGCACGTAGTTTAAAATTTAAAAAACACTAGTCTTCTCAATTGTTCATTTCGCCGTTGCTAACAGGTTTCGATATATCAGAATCTTCCCCGCTGATATCTGTCAGATATGTACAAAATCTTTGTTAACCTACATACGTCAATTTGATTTTCATAAACTGGCATTTTTAAAATCTTTTA